AGAATTGTGTAGGTCAAGTATCATAAATTCAACGCTAATCATCATAAATTGAAGAACTTCTTATGTATTTTCAAGCCACATTTCACATTGTTTACATGAAACTGTCCAATATGAAATTTTTAGTACCGTGGCATAATCCCGGACTGGTGAGCCATCATCAGCTATTATTATTCAAAGTTCTATAAAGGACTGACTTTGACATTCCAATGGAGAGTACGGAACGCAAAAAATTCACTATTGGCCACGTGTAAAGCTTTGTATTAAACGATAAGGAAAGTTAATGATGTCAAATGATCTTTAATGGGCCCAGACGTTACCTGCTCATAGTAATATTAAACTCAAATATTAAACTGTGGTAGAGCCACGCAACAGTCTTCGCTGTTGCACAAATTGGCTGGTCCGTTCTGGTAAGTACCATGATATCACAAAAGACCGCCGTGCAGTGGAAGTGTTATTATTCTACCTTTCGTCTGGTGAGTGAGGTAGCCGGGGCCCACTTTGTTATAAGATGGCAACGAATCTGCAACCTTACGGGTGTTGCAAATGTCAATGAGCGGTGGTTATCACTTAACATCAGGTGAACCGCCTGCCTCGCTTGCCACCCTCTCACATAAAAAATAAGAAAAAATACTAGGCTTCAGGTGGGAACAGAATCTACGATCTATTGTGCCAGAAACAATCAACTACCGACTGTCATCAACATAATTATCTTATAGTCTAATAAGGAACTATTATACTCTTCCCGATCCTGATATGATAAACTAACCATTGTCTTTTGATAAAGAAAGAAATATCTTTAGATCGGAAATAACTCTCAACTAATAACAACACTGTGAGTCAATCATTGGACGCGCGTGCTAAGCAGCGATGAAGAAAGAAGAAAACATTTCGCCAAGAATTTATATTAAAAGCGACGTGAATTATAGCAATTCGAATGCGCTGATTCATTGGTACAGAACGCTTAGAATTAGGGTGGCCATTTTTAATGAGAGATGGTGACAATAGTAACCACCGTCGGAGTTGTGCAGCCAAACTGTTTGGAGTCTCGGTTACCTCCCTTACCGGAATGCGAAAATTATGTTTTACACGTTTATCCAGTTAACGCAGTTGTTCTTCCAAGCCGAATACCAGACGAACCTGTAATCGTGCTCTAGATAAAATTCTATTGCCTTTTCCGATCAAACAAGCCGTTTCTTTTTTTTATTTGTCTCAGCCATTTGTTACCTGATAACTGGACCACCACGAAATAAGGATTTCTTGAGTGTATTTTTTAAGTGACAGTTTGGCAAGCGAACAGGCGGTTCGGCTGATTTTAAGTGAATATCGCTGACAATCGACATCTTTTTACATGTAGAATTGTAAAGGCGTTTTTACTTTTAAAAGTTTGGACCCCGGTACTTAGCTCACCAGATGAAACACAGAAGTATGTTACTTACATTAAAAGCTGGTGATTGCGAGTGAAAGACAAGCAGAGTGAAAGAAGTTGCAAATGATATATACTGCTTCTCTTTCATAAATATATTATATTTAGTGTAATTTTTAGTATTTAATAGAATAATTAAAACAAAATGTACATTTTGGAACACGCAACGAAGACAGTATTTTTTAAATACTTTGCTCTTTATTCTTAATTTATTCTTTATTTATAAAAAAAAATTCTTAATAAAAAAACTGAATTAAGATGATATATGCTTGCCTTGGGCATGCTGTTTTGATATTTTCAGTAACTTTGGAATTTTTACTTATCTCAATAATCTTCCACACCAAAATATTTCTTCAATTTTAATAAAGTAATTTAATATAGAGAATATAGATTTTATGATTGTCACTAAATATATAATAAATGATTTTTAATAGACTGTTTTTCAATAAAGGATTATCCTGATTGGAATAGAAACTGAAGTGTCACCCCAGTCTCAATGCAAAATGTCTTTATTCACCAGATCAAAGCGGTTGTAACCTTAGTGTTTACTAGCACCGGCGAGATATTTTCAAACATGGATCTATTTATACAGCGCGGGTTTTAATTTTATAACGACCCAATCGAGGAACGTCGAGAAAAACACCAGTCGACTCACACTAGTGGAATTTGGATTCTGTTTAAAGAATGCTTGTAATCACTTTTGAAATTATTACTTTTGATGCTTCTTTAACTTTTTCATCGGGAAAAAGCTATGGGCCAGATTGTTTTATTAATAAATTTTGTAGTTATATGTACAGCTGAATTATTTTAAAAATGGCGACTCATCGCCGGGTAGGAGATTCTTTGAATTCCACCTGACCTAGTATCAAACCATTTAATAGAAAATATTTTATGCAGCCCCTTCAGTGACTGCAAAAGCTCAAATGAAAAATCGAAGTTACAGCTTTTCTGTCAATAATTGGGCCCTTGGTACTTTTTAATTAATTACTAGCGGACCCGAGAGAGTTTGTCGGTCCTGTATGTATATAGACGTGTACGTCTTAACCTCAAGATAGACAAGAACTTGAAAATAAAAAAATGATAAAAAAAAACATTTTTAGTGGACCGAATCCACTTGAACGCACAATAAATTCATCAAAATTGGACCGATTTTTGTGTCTTTCTGTGGAGCTCAGTCTCATACACACGCACAGAAGAATTATCAATACTTTAGCTCGATTAAAAACATGGTGGTAAAGGTGGTAGTCTTAAACCTCGCCATGTATCACTAAGGGGGAAGAGGGGGGGTTAAAAATGCTAAAAAACATCACGTGATTTATGGAGTGACGGCCCCAATGGAAGTGTCTTAGCGATAGCAGTGAAGAAGTTCTACAGATCCAGGCGTTTACTACGCCCTACTATATCAGGTGAAAGCCGATACGAATTCTGCGTCATACTATCCAATTAGTAATCAGAAGACAATATGTTATAGGTATTTTCGCTTTGATTATATACTTTTTTTTATGTGACACAGTGGCAAACGAACTGGCGGTTCACCTGATGATAAGTGATTACCGCCGTCCAAGGACATTTGCAGTACCCGTAGGTTTACAGACGCGTTGTCACCTTTTAATAAAATGGGCCCCGGCGACCTCACTCTCCAGTGACTCTTCTGTGAGGTGGTGGTACTAACCGGGACGGACTTGCCCATTCGTGCAACAGCGAACACTGTTGCGTCAAGTTTAGTATACAGCGTGTCTTTACCATCGCGACAATAAATGAACACACATAAAGAGAATAAATTTTTAAAATTGTATTAAAGATTTACATTCTTTAAACATCAATATTTACAGAGTTGTCAAATTTTCCAAAACAAAGAATTTTAGAACACCCTAACGTATAAAACTTTAATGTAAAGTTCATTTGTAAAGGTCACAAAGCATATGAATGGGTTGAATGAATTTAAAAGAGACAAAACATACTGTTAGAAGGAGAGGCTTGTAATGCGACGCTGTGGCGCGAGTTGTATAGGATGTAACAAATTTTGTTTCTTTTTTACTTAATTAGTTTATTTAAAAAATATTTTTTTTTAATTATGGATTTTGTTTAACGTTAATATTTTTTTATGATTATTGGCAAGTAGCGTTAGACGTGTGTTCATTTATTGTCGCGACGGTAACGACATGCTGTATAATCGAAACAAGTATATAATAAAGACAAGGACATAATCAAACTTTTATCTTTTTTTTTTCTTTTAATTCCTTAATAATGTTGTGTGGACGTTTTTACAAACATAAATTTCACGCAGACAAACACCCAGATGCGAAACAACTATCTGTGGGTCACACAAATAGTTGTCCCGTGTGGGAACCGAACCCCCCGACGCCGAAGCCAATACCTTGGCCGCTGCGCCACGGAGTCATCATACTATAAAAGTAATGACGGAATGAGACATTTGAAATAATCGCGCGGAGATCCAAGCGATTTCGTTATTTCTACAAGTGTCGCGGAGCTTGAAGGCGCGGCCGTGACGTCAGCGGCGCGTGTGCCCGTCGCGTCACGTCGCGTCACGTTTACGTGACCGTTTTCAAGTGAGCTGCGCCTTATATGGCCGCGCTAATTGAGTAAGCGACCGCTCGTAATAAGCGTAAAATGTATCCATCTCAGTACAAGACACGAGCCATGTATTAAAAGAAAATGCCTCATTGATCGTAAGTTTGATAAGTATACACCTAAACCTATAGACCAGTGATTCTCAACCTTTTCTTTGACGATTTTGATTTCAAAATTTAACACAGTAAAAACTTAGTTTAAAAGTTGTTTCCTATAATACACTGTGTAAAATAGTTTAAGATAATTCGTTTGAATGCAAAATAAAATATTATGTACTACAAAAACATGCTACTCTTATTCGTCTTCTATATGTATATAAACGTCTCGATCTTTTTTCGTTTTTATGTTGGAAATACTGAAAATACGATTTCACACAAATAAGATATAGAAAATTTTAACAATAAATATAAGACTTTTTTTTCATGTGATAATCGCATCTAGTATTTATCTAGATAAAAGTAGAAATACATATTTTATGTTTAATTTCAATGTCGATACTCTATAGGATTTTTATGAAAACATTTCCTTCGTTACAAAAATTATTTTCTATCATCCAAGCAATTTCATACTATGTGCACATAGATGTCACTTGTATAAATATAATCCATTTTACAAAACTTATTTATTTTAAAATAATTATGTCCTTAAGTGAAAAATGGTCTTGATTTTCGACTTAATAATAATATTTATATGTATTCATTTTTATCTAACGCTAAACAAACAATATAAAGTCATAGTGGCTTTATATGTTAAATTTTATATTGGCAACATTTCACAATATGGGCTTGCTTACACGTCAAATAGTTGAATATTAGTTTCCAATTCACGGTTATCAACAATTGAGTTTTTAGTGTTAAGGAAATAATAAGGAACGTGAAGTAAACATATAGATGGATTAAAATCATTTTGATGTATTGGTAGAAGTTCTAAATCATTCCATAACAAAAAAAACCTATGTTTTTTTAGGCTTAGATTATAATATAAAATGGGTAAGAAAATTGGTCACTTTGTCTATTCGGCTGATTAAATTGTAGGCATTGAAGTAATAATGAACTTTTGCTTGCAGGTGGTTTACTTAGTTACTTCCGGGGGTTGCTAGGGGCACGTGAAATGAGGATTTTGATCCTTGGTTTGGACGGCGCCGGAAAAACTACTATATTATACAAACTGCAAGTTGGAGAGGTGGTGACTACTATCCCAACTATCGGATTCAATGTAGAACAAGTAACATACAAAAACTTAAAGTTCCAAGTGTGGGACCTTGGTGGACAGACTAGTATTAGGTCAGTAAATTTATGTTGAGGTTAGAATGGTATTTGATATGGTCATATTTCCCTAAATCCCGACTTGCCGGGAAATTGAAGCTATAATTACTAAATTCTTATTTTTAATTACTAATTTAAAAACTAATTTTTATTTTAGTGATTTCATTTTACAGTGTACTTCTTTTTTGATAGATGACACTTTTCAACACATATTTGTAAACTGTAATCATGTTGACACTTATTTCTTATTATTATTACAAATTGGATAGTACTAGCTTCCTAGAATGATAAAGGGATATGAAGATGCATCTGTATTGATTGTACTTTGTATATTATTGTTTAAAAATTCTATTCTATAATTTCACTAAAAATTATACTCCAAAACTAAATAAACATTATAAAAAAATTAAGTTTTCCTATTTATAATATTTTTAGTTGAGAGTTTCTCTGTGTATCATAAGTAAGGTATGTTTTGAATATAACTTCCAGGCCATATTGGCGATGTTATTATGGAAACACAGATGCAATAATTTATGTTGTGGATTCAGCTGATAGAGATCGAATAGGGATATCTAAGGATGAACTGGTGCATATGCTAAGGGTAAGATCAGTCTTTATATTATATAGTTTTTAGTACTTAGTTTTATAACTCAAAATTCTGGTTATTGACTACATGGATAAGTTCTTTGTTTGATTGTTGCATCAAATATATATTTGGAAAGGTAATAAAGATAAGGTGAAAAATTACATAAATAATCCATCAAATCTTATGTTATAGCATGGAGTAACCTATATCTTGGTGTTCTATAGCATCCATTTCGGATTAGTGTTTGGGGATTGCATGATTTAATTTCTGCAATTCTCTTCCAAAATATAATGCATACTGAAAAATCAATAAAAAAGGGATTTCATTGCTAAGCTATTGTCTTTGGGTCAGGGGTTTTGGGTTCTATTCTAACATGGGACATGTATTTGTATGACCCACAGATAATTGTCCCGGATCTGGGTATTTGTTTCTCAAGGATGGTTGATATCAGGCAGATAGCTGGTTGTAAAGACTATAGCCAAAACTCCTTACAATATTGATTCACATGTTGTTTCAACCCCACCTGTGTTAGATTGGACCAGGAGGATGATGATAATGAAGTCTGATTGTCTTCCTAATTTATGATTATTTCTAAGACAGCTAGTCAAACTATTTAATGGCCTTGTTTAGTTCTTATTTATTTATTTAATAATTTATATACACATTGTATACAAAAAGAAACCCTGTATTGTCAAGGTTGATGACATTGTGACCATAAATCCTTTTGTATTGTTTCACATCACCAAGGCCTTAGTTTGTATTAAAAATATCATGAGAGGCATTGCATGTAGCATTGTTATGACGTTGATACTGATAATGATGTACAGACTACATATTGTCATTAAAACAATTGTGATAAGGAGCTCATTTTGGTGGAAACATTATTGCTTGTCTAATGATTATTTGTCAATACATGCTTTAATTTTTTAAAATGCGATAATTTTAGTGATAAATTAGACATTGTAATTGCATTAATTTTTATATTATTTGTTGAAAAATCCTTATCAAGTACTGTTGTCACTATTGTTAAGTATAAATAAATAGTTCTAATGCAAAAATTAAATAAAGCACAAACTTCACTTATTTCAAATCATTGATAAAACGTCGTTTTCAAAAAAATTTACCTAGCTAGAAAAAAATCAAAATCAAAATAATTTATTCATCGACATAAGAAACTTACATTTCATCTATCGATAGTCATATTTATCACATAGACAGATTAATCATCTCCAAAACCCCTAGCATACTATATTTCATGAAAATCATTGGAGCCGTTTCTGAGATTCAGATTATAAATATATATATATATTCTTCTGTACATGTGTATGTCACTGAACTCCTAAACTGCTAGACCGATTTTAATGAAATTTTTTGTGTCTTCAGGACCATCCGAGAATGGTTAAGATTCACAATTTATTTATTTGTTCGTTATTTAGTTGTTTTCCGATTTAAATCGTGTGTACAGGAAAACGTCTGTTCGGTACGCTAAAAAGGTTGCCTGGAAGAAATTACTTTTAGTAATAAGGCCACCCATTGTACCAATCATCTAATAATTAAGTTTTGGTTATTGTATATGTTATTATGGTGTGCAATAAAAATAAAAAAAATTATTATTATTTAAATTTCTGAATTTCTTTTATTTAATTATAATAAAATTCATTGGTTGACTGTAAGCTTCAGATGTAACATTTTTATCTTTTAACGTTACAGGAGGAGGAGCTAGCCAATGCAATTCTAGTAGTGTTAGCCAACAAGCAGGACATGGCTGGCTGCCTGACAGTGGCAGAAGTCCACCAGGCATTAGGCTTGGACGCCCTACGTGACCGAACATTTCAGATTTTTAAAACGTCTGCAGTGAGGGGTGAAGGATTAGACCAGGCGATGGACTGGCTATCTGACGCTCTGCAGGCTCGGAAATAACATATTGGTGAGTTTAGCATTTCACTGATTAAAAAGTGTAAAGGTTAAGGTTCCTGTTTTAGTAGGAGCCATTAGGCTTCTATGTCCCACAGCAGGGCAAAGGCCTCCTCTGTACAGAGTGTATTAGGGTATAGTCCACTAAAAGACCCCATTGTGTATTGGCAGACTTCACATACCTTTAAATTAATTTTTCGAAAATATGCAGGATTCTTAACAATGATTTCTTTGACTGCTGAGCATGTGATAATTTAGCACTTAAAATTAACAATTTCATTTCACCTGGCACTAAGATTTAAACCCAGTTTGCACAAGTTGCGTAAGTATAGATTCCTGATAGGGTAATTTGTAACTTATAGATAATTAAATTGTACTATTTGTAAATGTAGAAATTATAAGAAATAATAAATAGTCATTGTATTTAACAAAGAACAAAGCAAATTGTTAACCATAGAAAAGTGTTTTTTTTTATCGGAACTTTTATATTTTCTATGTTAAGAAATTTTGCTGAGCGTGAATCACTATGTTCACTATTGCAATCACACTTCTCTCCGGTTCTCTACAAACGTTCCATCATTTGTTAATATTATTATTGTGGTGTTGCAATCTCGTGTGAATTAACTGCTTCCTTTATCACTTACTGACACTTTTATTTTTTATCTTTGCAAATGTTGTTGTATATTGATATGCTTCAATCAGTATTATTGTTTCCCGTGGTTGGCATTAGTTATTTAAAAATATTTATTTCCAGGGCTGTAAGATTTGGAGAGATGAGCAGGATTGGATGATCAAGTGACTGCAAGATGAGGAGTAAATTATCTAATAGTCATAATATGTTAACGCCATTAAGTTAGTACTTAGCGTCGCCGCCGATTGTCAAATGCAAAACGATGCTTCTCTTTAATTTGAATTATTTTTTTTTTCAATATATTTCTGTTATTTTTCAAAAGATAAATTATTTGTGTTTCATATTTATTTCATCATTATGTAATACAGAGAATATTTCTCTTTTCTATTAGTGTTTGTGATTGAGAAGAAATGGTACAGTTTGTCAAGAAATGTATTAGTACTTATCATGAAAAATATTTACGTCTCATGTAATAGAATTGCATTTAATCCATTTTAGTGCGACAATTTCACCTTGTACATACATATATACCATCAGCTTTTATTTGGATTTTAATGTAAGTTGTCCTTTTTCAATTGTTTAAAAAATCCTTATTAATTTATATGCTAATACTAAAATTGTAATCTGTTTTTTATCGGCATTTTGTAAAATTTTTTGTATCATTTCCGTGTCTGTTATCTTTCTGGCGGGGTTATCCTTGCATACTCTGTCAGTTTGGCTGTTAGTACAATTTAATAGTTTAGCACATCATCAATAATCTAAAGATGATGCATTTTTTTTGCAATATTTAACCATAAGACTTCCAAATTAAGGAGTATCTTATTTAAAAAAAAATCAAATAAAAGTGAAATGAAAGAAAAATACAATTATTATATGTACTATTTTAAATATTAACCATACCAAAATACAATACTGGAATGAAATAAATATAAAAAATAAACAATCATATCTGGCTCAATGGGCTTACAATATCTATTGTTATTTAATGGCATCCTTTTTCAGACCAAATTATTGTGATATGTATTGTGAAAGGCCGACTTTTTCAAGTTTCTAACTTGTCTTTTATGAACTGTCTTGCCATGAAAAACAATATTGGTCCCTCTAAAATTATTATTGACGAATTTGAACGTTTTAAAACGTGTATGGCGCAAATGGTAAAGTACAGCTTTTATACTAAAATAGTAAAAATTGTTAATATATTCAACAACAATTGAGTATTAAATTATGTTCCATCCAATAAACATCTTTATTACACTTACTTGAATCAATATCTTTGCTAGACTATAACTGCGTTATTATCGGTAAAAAAACAGGAAATGATTCTCCTTTTTCAAATTCTATAAACGCGCCGTTTGGGTCGTATGCCATTTATGTGAGCCGCAAAGCGCCACACCAATAAAATTGAGGTAACATATTTTTCAGTAGCAATTTATTGTACGAAAAAATTTATGAAATAAATGCGCACAAGCCTTTAATCCGAAATCGTTAATCAAAATAGTAATTGAACAATCAAAATCGTGTTATGCCGATTAATAATTTTCCCGTCGAACAAAAACAAAATTTATTGATATATATTTTAAAATGTCAGACAACGATGTTTAATAATATATATATGACACGTCCATACTTCGGCGTTTAAAAATATTCCGCTTTACATTATAACACCTATATAAGTGAAAGTGACAGATGATATAGAACGTATGATATGGAAAGAGATAGCGTTCTATAGATTGCAATCTAATTATACCAGTTGGTGTAATTTGAGGGTCTCAGTTTCGGTGCGCTAGTCTCATATATTAATTATGTATAATATTACTGATGTAAATTAATATAAATTTATTGTTCTACTTATGTTTATGGAAATTATTTTAATTTTAATATTTGTCTTGAAGTTATTATTCATATTTATTTAAAAAATACATTGATTGTTTTAACTGTCACTTTGACAGCGCGGAATCGTGCTCGCTAAATGGCGGCTTTCGCGCTGCGACACAGACTGCTTATTACAGACTTTCGTAACAAGACATAATGGACGGCGACGCGTTATCAGTAGATAAAACAATTGTTTTGTATTAGTAGCAGCAGCTGGCGGTGTGTAACTATAGGTACGTCTAAGTTATTACTATTGATTGATTAATATATATTTTGTATCTGTGACATTCAAGCTATGTGTAATGTATATTGTCTGGCGGCAAGAGGAAAGGATGGTTTCGAATACAATATCATGCAATATTTTGTAGTTTTGTTTCACACTGCAATTTTCCAGACTTAAAGATGCCGTTTTGTTAAAGCACATTCAGGGATGCCGGGCGGTAGTGTAATTAAAAAATGCTCGCGGAGATGTATATAATTTATCTATCTACTGTGCTATCCAATGAAATTGTTAATTTTAAGTGCTGAATTATCAAGTGCTCAGCGGTGAAGGAAAACGTGAGGAAACCTGCATATTTTCGAAATAAAAATTAAAAAAAATATTTCGAAGTTATGTGAAGTCCGCCAACACGCAGTGGGGCCGCGTGGTGGACTATGCCCTGATACCCTCTGTATAGAGGAGGCCTTTGCCCAGCAGTGGGCCATGTATAGGCTGATACTTTACTTTTACTGTGCTATATGCGCAAAACTAATGGCTGTTTAAAGAAAATCTTAAAAATTCGCTTAGTACCTGTTAATAATATAATATGAAATAAAGGAAAAACATTTAAATATAACACGACTTAAGCTGAATGTAACATTATTTTTTATTGTTAAAGCCGGGGAAAAGAAAAACCGGCCAAGTGCGAGTCGAACTCTCGCACGGAGGTTTCCGTACCAATATCTGTAAAAACGGAAATAGGTACATCATGTCTGTTGTACGCGAGCCCCACTTAAATATTCTTTTATTTTGTTTTTTAGTATTTGTTGTTATAGTGGCAGCAGATATACATCATCTGTGAAATTTTCAACTAACTATCGCGGTTCATGATGGTACGAGAGTTAGCAATGTCGGGATAAAAAAATTTAGGTAGGCCAGTTTTTAGATATGCGCACTGATGAACGCAACCTCTACCGCCAGCCAGATAGGCCGTATGACGTCCGGGAGAGTGAGAGAGATAGCATATCTAAAAACTACTCACATGAAATTTTCTCGAGAACGTATCTAGCTCTTAGACTATGAGATACAGCCTGGTGACAGACAGACAGATAGCGGGGTCTTAGTAATAGGGTCCCGTTTTACCCCTTGGGTACGGAAACTTAAAAAATCAATTTTCTCCTATTTTCTCTATTTCGTGCTTAAAACTGCAAAGATTGCGCACGGGCACCCAATTCCAGTACAATTACTATACAAACGCTTCTTTCGTATGGTTATCGATAACTTTGGAGTGAAGACTCAATAGAGTAGTATTTCTTACGTTTGCTGAAATAGTTTCCATCAAAAAATATAAAATAACATTTAAATAAATGTAAATAATGTAACAAAGGGGGAAGGCCAGAATAATTGATGCATAATAATATGGTGACGCTTTCTATACATTGATATAAATATATATATATACATACTTAAAATTCAATCCATATCGAATTATCCAGCGACGCTGAATTTTTTCAAGTAATGTATACTTTAAAATTATAATTTTAAGTAGAATTTTGTGGACCTTCAAAAATACGCAAGCAACTAGTAGTTAGCAACTAGTAGTAGTTTTTTTTTTTTTGAGAAAAGTTATTAAACGAGCGGGCGGTTCACCTAATGTTAAGTAATTACCGCCGGAGATGTTTAAAGAGTGGGCCGCGTTTACCTAACTCACCAAAGAGTATTTAGGTAGTATAAGTAGTTTAAGGTACACTTCAAGTACCTCTTCTGCTAGGCCGCGGTACATCCTCGGACGTCCCTGCCCATTTGTGCAACAGAGTATTACAAATAGCAGTTCGCCTTTGTTATGTGGACCACAGTCATGAGGTATTTAACCATAAACCGCCTACGATCGAACGTGTGACAGTGTCGTCAAACCGCCAGAGCGTAGCGCATTGAAAGCTACACTTAAATAATGGCCTATTACGCCCGGCTCAGGGGCAAAGACCCTTTGAAATGGACCTTTCGTTGCTTTTAATACGCGATTGTTATGTCGCCGTAAAGTGGAATGATAATGCGGAGGGGTAAAAAAAAAATCTTGAGGCTTGACAGTCAACAGCGATATACAAAATCCATTCCCTATATACAAAAGTACTCTGTGGATATGAATGCATCAAGTGTCACTTGCCACTTTTTGAACATATGGCTAGAAATATTTCATGTTAGGAGCATTTCATGTACTGAGATTTAGTATCAGTTGCTATTATACTAATAACAACAACCCTTAAAACTGTCGCGAACTCTGAACACTCAAACAACATTTGAACTCAAAATTTTATAAGTATTTCAGTATTATTTTACGAATATCTGTGATTTATCCCCTGGCTCTTTTTTATATGACAGAATTAGAAATCGATATTATAATTCGAGATCTTGTCAAATATAAAAGAAACGACGTTACTAACAGAGTTCTTATAAAGGACGTTCTCAATTTGTTGTATTTTTTGTTTACCGCAGCAATCTGTCTATTATGATTAAAAGGAATATAAAAGCTCTCATGTGGTCCCATATTCATTTATTTGGTTTTGAACCTTGGACTTCGGAGGTACACCAGAGAAGTCGAAATCAAATGTAAAATCTATAGCGATTGCGATATTTGTGATCGATTGTGTTTTTAAAAAAATGTTATTTATTATCATATTTAAATACACATCATTATCATTTTAGTCGAGTCATTACTATCAGGGATTCGAACGTCTAAATCACCACCTCTCATAGTGTAAAGTAGTACTACGGAAACTACCTCTTGAATTCGGCGTAAATGCAACATGGATTTTTGAACATATGAGGCAAGTCAAATACTTAAAGAGAGGTAAAGCAACAGACTATAATTGTCCCACTGCTGCGAAAATGTCTCCTCTGTAGAGAGGGTATATAAGAGAGGACAATATTTTTTATTTCATTAACAAATGTAGAAACAAATGTAAACAGCTCAGGAATCTGGAATGCAAGAATTCCGTTTAAATTGGGTTACGTACCATAACCCGTTTTGAAACAAGGAAATTCCTAAAATGCCATTCATTTAATAACACTGCAGATGAGTTATACCC